GGCCTGGTTCAAAGTTTAACTATTTATTATGAGAGAGCAAAAGATATATATCACTTGGCCAAGGACTCCGTCACGTCATAGAATTCACAGACAGCAAAGCTGTAATCTGTCTTATTATACAGGGCGTTGCCCGTACTGTACATTTATGATTGGTCAAGAAGACTACTGTAGCTGAAGAGATACCATGGTTTAGACTTGGTTCTCTTTGGTTGGTGCGCACTGCGCAGACTCAGATAGAGTCTCTTGGCAACACGACCTTCCAATCAGCATTCGGCCGGCCTGTGGAAGTCCCTCCCTACTCTGGCACCATCATACGTAATTTGTTTTCGCTAACGTTTCTTCAGATATAGTGGAAAACCATAATGTTGCGTCCTAGCTCTGCGTGGGAGCGCGGCTCCCATACAATTCAAGGCCGGTGCGTTGTGCTGTTCTGACTACCTCTTTGTATTCTCTCAGTCTCTGCACATGACCTTGCTACTTTCAATATTGCAAGCTAAACACTTTCTCATGTGACTTTTCCCTTTGTTGGTATCCACATCAGAACCTGGGATTAGTGATTGTGTCTATTTATTTTATAGTCATAGCATTCTCATGAGCACAATAAGCATATAATGTAATAATAAGAATCAGTCTTGTAATGTTATATACAAATAGTCTCCACACACACACACACACACACACACACACACACACACACACACACACACACACACACACACACACACACACACAAGGCTCAGACAGGTGCACAGGACCCGAACATCCTGTATGTCATATAAATGTGTAGGGGGGGGGGGGGGGGGGGGGGGGGTACAGTGGGTGGTCATTGAAAATGTGTTCTGATATTAGTTCTTCGCAGAAAATGAGCCAGCGGGTGGGTGTGGGTTTGAAAAAATAATTTGTCATATCATTTTTCTTTGGCTAAATAATGGAAACGGGTCCCACAGACCCGAACACCATACAAGGGTTAAAGTAGCCCCCTTTTGCCTTGATGACAGCTTTGCACACTCTTGGCTTCTCTCAGTCAGCTTCATGAGGTAGTCACCTGGAATGGTTTTCAATTAACACGTGTGCCTTGTCAAGAGTCCATTTGTGGAATTACTTGCCTTCTTAATGTGTTTGAGACCATCAGTTGTGTTGTGCAGAGGTAGAGTTAGTGCACAGTGGAAAGCCCTATTTGACTACTGTTGTAATCCATATTATGGCAAGAGCCACTCAACTAAGTGAAGAGAAACGACCGTCCATCATCACTTGAAATGAAGGCCAGTTGATCCGTAAAATGTCAAGAACTTTGAATTTATCCTCAAGTGCAGTCACAAAAACCATGAGATGGGTCGTTATGTCATTTGTGTGTAGATATTTTTCCCTCCTCCTGTGTCTGTGAGTGTGTGTGTGTGTGTGTGTGTGTGTGTGTGTGTGTGTGTGTGTGTGTGTGTGTGTGTGTGTGTGTGTGTGAGTGAGCAAGCAGGTGGTGCCCGATAGCTGATTAGCTACCTTCAACCTGCTGATGGTCCACCTGAAGAGACAGGAGCATTTAAGCTGCAGCCATGCAGTTCCTCTACCCTCTCTCTGACTCGACTTCTCCTACTCCCAACACACTTGCGTATTGAGATATCTGTCCTCTTGTGCTGTGTGTATACTTATACCGGTCCTTTTGCTTGTTGTGAAACCTTAGAAAGAGAAACTACCTTTACCTGTCTTTGTAGACACGCTTTGATTTATTTAGGAGTGAGAAACCCTCTTTTTGTTTGAACCTTTTTCTCCTGTTTACTGGTAAGAGTAGGTAAGAAGCCTGTATTTTATTTTATTTGTTTTGTTAGGCAAGTTTAAGGAAACTCTGTAAAGAGTTTGTTATGTTGGGGTAGTCTCACCTCTTGAGTTATTAAATCTCAAAAAGCTGATTTCCTGTGTCGTTTACCATTTCTTGGGAGTGGGAAGAGTTGGGAGAGAGCAATTTTATGCTGCGCCTAGGTTCCCCTAGATCTGGGCGTAACAAATGACACTATCTGACAGAATGTATGTTTGAGACCAAGTATCCATTTAAAAATATGCTATAACAAACTTTATTCCAAATAAACAACAAACAATGCAGTGTTTTCATTTCTTGGTTTGCAATACAGAGAGAGGGCTCAGAATAATAGATGTGTAAAGTTATAAGCAGTTCAATTGAAGGCAACTTTTATTCACAGCACGGAGGCAATAAGAGTTAACACATTCAGTTGTTAAAGCTCAACAATGTGTTTTGATTAAATTAAAATCTTAAGAATTATATTATATTATATTATTTGAAAGTGGTAGTTTTACTATATTTCTACACATTTAAAGTGTTGATACTAAAATGTAAGCAGCTTCATCCTAACTGCAGGTGCTTGTAATCTCCTCCTGTCGTCAGCAGGTGGCGCTGTGGTCTCACATTAATGTGACTTCAGGTTCCTGTGCTGCTGTGTCAAATTTTACATTTGGATTCAGATTGTTTTCCTGTTTTTAGTTAAACTTATACGGGTTACTTTAAAAATTGTTAATATCAAATTACATATGAATACATTTTTCAAATGTTCTGACATAAGCAACATTTCTGACATAAGCATAACTTAACTCAGCATAACTCAGTTCAGTTGTTAAGTTCAGCCGTGTTTTGTGCCCACCTCAACGTCCAAATACAGCCCCATCTCTCCCAGACCCACCTGGTGACGTACTTGCTAGAAGATTAATCTGGACACCTCCTCGAACACCCTTTACGTAAACCAATCAACACGCCAGGAGCCGAGATTCGATCGGGGAAGTGACGAGATCCAAGCGAAGGGCACTGAAAAAGCTCTTGGGACCACCTTCCTCCAGAGCCTTCCCAATCCAAACTAGGGCCTTTCACGCATGAAATACACCCGCCGAATGTCAGCCATCATTGGGGCAGAGGTCCCAGAGGTTCCTGTCCATAACCCCCTCTGGGAACCCTTTTTGGTCCCTACTGTTAACCTCTAAATCAGAATCATTGCTGTGGCAGAGGTGAACAACTGCAGCCGTCCTCTGGACTCACACAGAAAAGATGGCCACAGGAAGCCACACTCGACTCACAAGGGTCTGTCGTCTTAAAGGGTCAGGCCAGGAGGGAGGGACGGGGAAAGCTCCACAGCTGGCATCAGAAACAAGGTAACTGGTGCCTGGGGAAACATTTGTGTTGCTAAATGATGGTAAAACCCCCCTAAAACAGGTGCAAAGGTCTTTTGAAGTGTCAATTATCAAAGTGTGTCCTATAGGATGTAACCCATCACATTGGTTAAAAGACTGCTCCTGTCAAAGTATGATCCTCTACATGTCAACACACTCTCTTTGACTGAAAGCATCACTCTGAGCTGTATGTGTATGTTACATACTGTGGGTCTTAACAACATAGTATTGTGTGATATATAGTGTGTCAGCTGTTTGTGTTGAGCTGAATGTAGTGATGAGCTGCATCCTCACAGGGTTCATCTTCAGTTTCATGGAGATACTTTGCTATTATCACCTGCTGCCTTCCCTCATCAATTATACATCACAGCTACAGTTCACTGACCCACCATACTGCCCACTCAATCTTACTGTGTGTGTGTGTGTGTGTGTGTGTGTGTGTGTGTGTGTGTGTGTGTGTGTGTGTGTGTGTGTGTGTGTGTGTGTGTGTGTGTGTGTGTGTGTGTGTGTGTGTGTGTGTGTGTGTGTGTTACATTCAAGGTCAAATACTAACCTGGCCTTAACCCCGCCCCCTGTCCCGCCCACTTGAGGACAGGGTTTCCCGCTCAGCGGAGTTTGACCTCTGACCTCTCTGCCCTCGCTTGGTTCACCTGATGTTACTACTGATGAAATATTCCACAGTGTCAACCGTTGCCCGTTATCATGGAGACGAAAAAACACAGCACGTTGTTTTGTTGCAGTAACTATGAACTGGTTCAGCATAGAATTTACTCTCAATACATCTGATGAATCAATATGTGTATTTAAATGTGCAGTCTGCCCGAAATAGACCGAACACTAATGAATTGATCTCTCAATTATTGAAAATAATAATAATAATAATGGGTTTCATTTATAAACCACTTCATATTTGAGTGCAAATCCCAAAGTGCTACATGCAGTGAGCATGGAACAATATACAACAGTACACAACACGGTAGGATTAATAAAAGCAGTAAAAACAAACAATACAAAATAAATAAAAGGGTAGTAATAAATAAGATAAAAGATCTAGGAAAAGGCTCTATTGAGCAGATGGGTTTTGAGGAGGTTGGTATTGCTGGAGCGAGAGGTCCGCAAGGAAGTATGAGGGGTGAGGAGTTCCTTGAGGTAAGGGGGGGCAGTTCCATGGATACACTGGTGGGTGAGGAGGGAGACCTTGTATTCGATCCTCAGTTCCACGGGGAGCCAGTGTAGTGATTTCAGGATGGGGGTGATATGATCATATTTGCGCACCCTCATCAGGATCCTAGCAGCGCTGTTCTGAATGTACTGGAGCTTCTGGATGCTTTTGTTAGGGATCCCGGTGAGGAGTGCATTGCAGTAGTCCAGCCTGGAGGAGACAAAGGCGTGGACTAGCTTTTCGGCGTCAGACAGAGTGAGTGTGGGGCGGAGTTTGGCGATATTCCTGAGGTGATAGGAGTTCTTGCACAGCTGTTTAATGTGAGCCTCAAAGGTCAGATGGGCGTCCATTCTAACACCCAGGTTGGTGACTATTGAGGAGAGGGTAATGTTATAATTAATTGTTATTTTGCGGCTGACTGACGGTATGCATGCAGCATTAAGTGACTCATCTTATCCTATAGAATGTATTATTTACTATACATGTAATGAACAAGATTGAAACATCCCAAAAATTAAACAAAATGACATAAATTAAGATGCACAAAATAAACCCACTTTCTTACTTGATCATCAGTTCTGATACCTTTATACATGTAGCTATTTATTTAATTTCCTCAAAATTGATCCTGATTTGGATGGATTTGTTGAATAAAGAGACGAAAACATTTTGGTTTTGAATGTTTAAAAACAAACAGATTTATACATTTTCTTTACGCAGTCTCAACGTGTTTACAAAACCGAAGCAGTCAGTAACAAAGGCTCACCTTACAAAATGTCCATACTAAATAACATTATCTTGTTAAGAAACTTATAAAAATATAAAATCAGCCACATCTGAATCCTTTTAATCAGCTGAGAGAAAAACAAGAAGACCAAACTAAACAGTTTTAATAAAAGAAAAACAACAGAGAAACCAGATAAGAAGAGTTTGAAGATTAGAAAATAATAGAAACCATCATAAAAGGCTAAGCAGTTTTGTTGTTAATTCAACTTGATGGGGATGTATACAGATGTAGTTGCTATCTGCAGCATCTGGACTACATGCTGAAGAGTTTCTGTGAATCCTTTGACAGAAAAGCCTCATCTTCATCCCTCCATAACCCTGAAACCCTCCTGCTTCTGACAGCCGGACGCTGAGAGACGCAGAGGTGATCCAGATGTTGCTTCACAGATTTCCTCTCAGGGAAAAACAGAAACCTCAGCAGTCAGTCTCCATCACCGCCAGCCCTCCCTTTAAATCAGCGTGTTGCAGCTTTATGCACAAGCTTTAAGGATAACAATCAGTTCTGTTTAGAAACGTCTAGAAAGATTTCCATCGGATGGCAGAGAAGATGGTGTGGATGAAGTAGAGGAGGGTCGCCACGTACGAGAAGACCTGAAGAGACAAGGAGAACGTCAGGGGAATGAAGGGAGTCGCTTCCTCGGAGAATTATTTTAAGACATAACAATCTGCCCAGTAGAGTCCCAGAACCTTATCAGCATGTTTCCCCCTTTATAGAGGACACATTATGGTCACTTTCAGGTTCATATTTGTATGTTGTTTCTCTACTGTCATGTTTGGGTGAGAAACTCTGGGATTTTAGCCTAAAAAATATCGTTTGGCTACAACACCACGGTAAAATAACTCATGTCCACATCATTAAGATAAAGGCGGGCTTCATCACGGCCATCATGGAAACTCATCTATTCACTCGTCTCATTTTAGCCTTGTTGTGTTTATACTCACGCTCTTGCAAACTTAAAGGTCCCCTATTATACTGTTTTTCATAAATATATTATAGGTCTCAGATACATACAAACATGTCTCTGAAGTGTTTGGCTCCAAACACCAAACAGATCATTGCAGCATCCCATAATCCCCTCTGTTTCAGCCCTGTTTCAAAAGTGCTGATTCTGTGTTTGTTACTTTAGATGAAAATAAGGAGCCCCTCCCCACGCCCCTCTGAGAGATATTTGGTTAAAAAGAACACAATGGTGCTCTAGGAGGAGATTCAGGTGATAAAGTGTGGGGGGGGGGTTACCTTGGTTGCTGATTGGCTAATGGTTACACTAGCCAAAAAAACATTATGACATCATAAAGTGGCCAAAATCTGATCAGCTCATTTTCAGACAGGTTTTTATATAAATGGATCAGGACAAAAAGAGAGGGAATCTTTTTTCTTGAGCCTTTCAGAATCTCTTTACACCGAGGGGACACATGTGAAAAAGTGGATTTTGCATAATAGGTGACCTTTAAACTAGAAACCTTGATCAGGTCAAGACAAGAGGAAAGGTTTTTGCAGACGAGGTAAGGTTGCAAAATCACATTATAAATTGGAGGCTTATTGGCGGTGACATTGAAGTAATACAACGTTAGCTTCTTTGCTTCTGACAATTGCATATTAGCTTAAAGTTTTTAACAGTGGTGGTTATTTGTGAAGATTATTTTACTGAACAACACATGTGTAACATCAACCTTTGTTTGCCACAGAGCTTATTTACGGCAAAATCTTATTGGCTTTTTGACGAGGGAACCAGAGCGATACTAACTTCCAGATTAGCATATGAACATATTGTCTTACTACATACAATCTTACTGTGTTTAGTTCTCTTTATTAGTTTGCACAAAAAGAACCAGCCTGACTCACCACTGCAGAGATGTCCAGTTTGTAGTTTCGGGAGTTGAGTGGGATCGTCTCTTTGATCTCCAGGGTCACTTTGGCCAAAGCCACCGAAGCACTGAGGTAGAAGAAGGCTGCGATGGCGTGATATGCTAAGTCCTGACAAACAAGGAAGGGAAAAAAGAGTGTGAGAGATTCCTTATGGTGTGATGTTAGTCAGACATGTGCTGAACTGTCTCCACCAACACATTTAAAAAAAAACTGTAACAAAGAGAAAGGTTAGTCATGGTGTCCTGCTATGTTATCACAATTGTTTGTTGTTTACAACCAAGGAAATTATCTTTTTAATTATTGTGACACAAAAGAAAATATTATTCATGGTATGTTCAGCGTTTGGTATAAGGGCTGTGTGGGAATATCTCTCAAGTGCTTTCAATTTGCTCTATTATCTGAGAGCTGAGGATAGGCTGGAATTTCTCTTTCACACATTTTTCTAATTCCAACTGCACTGAGTTAGTAGCCAAAGAGCCAACATAAGACTCAAACCTAAAAGGAAGGAAATCAAGGTTGTTATGGGAGCATTATGATGTTGATTCTTTACTTAAAAGTCCTAAATCTCATATTTCACAGCGTCCAGGAATGCACCAATATGAATTTCTCTTAAGGAGTTTCCAAAGTGGTCTCTGCTCAAAAATCAATGCAATGTGAGAATTTAAAGTGGCACTATTACGCACATTTTCAGGTTCATATTTGTATTATGTTCCTCTACTGTGACATGTCTCCATGCTTTAATGTTCAAAAAGCTCTTTATTTTTCTCATACTGCCTGTGCTGCAGCACCTCTTTTCACCCTCTGTCTGAAACCAGAGCCCAGTCTGCTCTGATTGGTTAGCTGGCCGGCTCTGTTGTGATTGGTCAACCGCTAAGAGATTTCCCGCCGCTTAGACTATCACGTACAATGTGTTGGAGCACTAACCAATAGAAGTGCGAGTGTGACATAGTGATGTCACTATGTTCCTTAAGAAAACAAAGAAGTCCAATGGAGGAACCATTTTTTAAGACACAACAGACACATTTCTACTCTACAGTGTTTTTTGGATGAACAGTTCTCGAGAAAGCAGAAACCAGCAAACAATTGGCATGTTCAGGTTTTCACACACATTTCTCTATTTAGACAAATTCATTGAGATCAATGTTTGACAAAAATATATAAGATGAATCTCCAATTGATTGAGGGAAATGATGAGCAGGAATGAAGGTGGGTGCACCACTTTGGCTCAAACTGCAGAGAATCAAAGTCTTCCTGATTCAGTTTTGAGTGTTTTCTGTCTTTGCTAAGATGTGTTGAAGACTTACTGCTGCGGCCCAGGAGCCTCTGTTGTTATGCATCCCGCAGAAGAACAGCACCATCCAGATGAAAGTCATGGAGAAGCAGAAGAGGGAGACGAACATGACCCAGGCCTGAGGGTTCGCCGGCACCACCAGCGTGCACGCCACCAGGATCCAGACCAGACCCCCGAAGACCTGCAGGGACACCAGAGAGGCGTGAGAGGAGAGACAGCATGTGTTTTACTGCGACTAGCGATTGTTTTATCATCAAATCAGCTCATTATTACTCGATTACAATTCAAAACCCAAATACATTTAATTTAACTCAAATGAAATGGAAAAAATGTGTCTCTTCCAAAAGATGTTTGGCATTATTTCTCAAAAGATGAACTGATTTTAAAAATAGTTGCACATTATTATGTTTAAAGAGGACATATTATGTTCATTTTCAGGTTTGTGCCTCTACTGTGACATGTCTCCATGCTTTAATGTTCAAAAAGCTCTTTATTTTTCTCATACTGCCTGTCTTTTCACCCTCTGTCTGAAACCAGAGCCCAGTCTGCTCTGATTGGTTAGCTGGCCGGCTCTGTTGTGATTGGTCAACCACTCAACGGTGTCCCGCCCCTAAGTTATCACGTACAATGTGTTGGAGTGCCAACCAAAAGAACCTCAAGTGTTACATAGTGATGTCACATAGGACAGTTTCCTAAAAAACGCTTGTGTTCCTTTTTGCACACAGCTTCACCATTTGCTTGCAAATCCCTCCGTCTGATTCTTGATGGATTAGACTTCATTTACTGTATGTTGGGATGCCTTCTAACATCAATTATCATATCCTTGGTACGGAAAGTTGAAGATGAGATTCCTCACCCCCACAAACAAGTTGTGAAAGACTGGGCTGTGGCTGGTGTCATTGTCTTGGAACCTGAGTCATCTGCATACCTGAACATCTACTTTGGGTTCTAAGTTGATGTGTGTTTCCTTTATTCTGTCCACCCTGTATTTCCAGCACAGAGCAGGGCGTAACTGGCTCAGTTCACGCTACACCTCTGATGATTGACAGACTGCATTATTCATGGCGTTCACCCAGAATCCACCTGCTCACACACAGTTTGTGTTTGTGTTAATGCACGAGTTAATGTGAGAACGATTGTAGCATTCCTCCTCATCTCAGACTTTCCTGACGTCAAATCATCACAGTAAAAGTATTTATATATTTTCGTATCAGCTAAAGCTTTCATTCCATCTCTCCTGCGTCACACAGGCTCATTCTAGGAATATCATCTCTACTGCCTAATGTCTGGCTGCTGTGACCCCTTCACCTCCTTTCATACTTCTTTTGTTTGTGAAATATTTCAGATGTAGGAAGGAACATTATTTAGATTCTTAGAAACAGCCTCAGGACAAAGGACAATATTCCTGTGGTTCAAGTTTAGCAATGGGTGAAACGTCCCTTCTGTGTCATTATTTATAATTAGCCATTTGAGTCAGATTGTTAACAGTTTATTTTTTAGCTAATAAACTTGTCATCAGACAGTAATGAATTCCAAGATTGCATTTCAGCCAATGTTTACCTGCATGCAACCAAAGCCTGCTCCAAACTTGATTAGTCAATACTCCAAAAACCAGCTCGCTTCTGGCGTCAAAACCTGTCCCATTTAAAGCCAACATAACCAATAATAATACATCTGATGTCTTATTGTGTTGTCTTACTTGGTTCATATTTATAGATTAGAGATTGTTCCTTTAATAAAAGTGAACAACATTTCAATTTCACTTCCCGAAACCTATGACAATCTTCTCTGTCTGAAACTACAAGATCACAGCAGCAGCTTCCCATCAGGCTTGAATGAGAGACCCATTGTGAAGTACTCTATAGCTCACTTAGCAAAACAAAGAGTTAAGATTGATTGCGTCAAACCAGGAACAGTAAGTAATTCCTTGTTCGTACCGAGTATCTGTTCTCTTCAGGAAATGAAAACAGTAAAAGCAGAAGCTGAATTTGTGTTTGAAAGGAGTGAAATAATAACAGGGACTCAGTGAAAACTGCAGGTGATGTGAAGATGTTCATCAGTCAGTCGGTCTCCCACACAAGAAACAAATTAATAATTAACTGCTTTGTTACTATCCACAGTTTTTAGTCTTTACTAATTAAAACTGTTTTCATTGGTGTGCATAAAAAGGCAGTTGACTAAAGACAGGCAGTCAGTCACACACAGAACACAATTATAATCAACTTTAACCATTTAGCACCTTTCATGCAAGATGCAGCCACAAGTGCTTTACAGAGCAAGACAAGATACATTAAAATAAAGTGAGTGAAAATAAAGACTTAGAAACATAATTAACAAGTTATAAAAACTAAACAGAAAGAGTTAGGTCACAAAACAATCAAACATGAAGTTATACCACTAAAAGTACCCCAAATTCAAAAGATAGGTCTTTAATTTTTCAATATGAAGAGTTTAAAACGTTTTCTTGCAGATGTTGTTTTTTAGGCAGTTTTTAGTGTTTACTAGTTCAAACTCAGGGTGTTTTCATTGGCGTGCGTAAAGTGGCAGCTGACCAAAGACAAGACAGTCACCGACACTCAGAACAACAATAAAACGTTCTCTGTAAGATGTTGCTTCTTACCAGTTCAGGCAGGTAGAGGATGTCCGGGATGGTCGTACATATCCCGATCCCTCTGGGGAGGTTTCCCATGGTCGCAGTGTTGGACTCCATCATGCTGCTGCTGCTCGGACTGATCTGGGGCTCAGAGCTGCTGCTGCTGCGTGTTAAACCAGGTGGATCCGACCGGAAAAACCGGAATCCCCATCAGCCGAGCAGAGATACGCCCGGCGGCCGTCAGACACCGGGAGGAGCAGATAGAGGAAGTGGATCTGCTGGAGGAGCAGAGAGAGATAGTGGATCTGCTGGAGGAGCAGAGAGAGGAAGTGGATCTGTTGGAGGATCAGGGAGAGTGATGGAGGTTCAGAGTGAGACAGACTTATCAATGTTTGACCAGCGTTAATAATTGATCAGCATGACAACCTGCAGCAGCAGCATCAACAACAACAACAAGACTGATACAATCAGATAATGATTTTATTGAATTTGATGGCAATCATTATTGAATATCTTATCACTTGTTTTGAACAATATGAGGCCATAACATGGATGTTATCAGTTGTTTTTGCTACCTTACCTTGCTTCAGTAACTGCACCCACCAGAAGCTAGGCCAGAAGGGGAAAATCTGACATTATTATTTTGACATTCACTTTCACTTAACTTTTGGTGCCTAAAAGGAAAGATATCATGGTTTGGGTATCGGCCGACGATCGTGAATTATGAACTCTACTTATGATCCACGTGGCGTCACCCAGGGCCGCCCCTCCCTACATGCAGATCACGCAGACTGCGTGGGGCCTCATCTTTCAGAGGGAGCCTCAGAGGGAGCCTCAGAGGGAGCCTCATCTGGAGCGCAAATGCGGCGCAATTACTGCAAGCGCGCCACAGTTTCGCCACTGCGAGGCTCCGGTTCACGCGCGTGCTCCACTAGCACTCGTCCCCCCCCATCGACGCTCGCGAAACAGAGGGCCTCATCACATAACTTTGCGTGGGGCCACAAGTTGGCCAGGGGCGTCCCTGGCGTCACCCACTGGTTTGTTTTGAAGAGCTGATTTAGTCCATGTCATTTTGTTTTTTTGGCATGTGCCATCTTTTTAACACGAAACACATTCAACTTTCATGAACTGAACTAGGCCTACATGGTAAAAGGGTCAAGGTTCTAAACAAAAACACAGACAACAAAGTTGTAGGAACTGGGGTCGGTCGCTTCAAAACATCATTTAAGAAGTGGGGCCTGGCAGACAGTGCTGCATGTGAGTGCGGTGACCCTGAACAGACTGCCGAACACATAATCACCACCTGCCCTTTATATAGACCACCCTCGGAAGCCAGCCTCTTCGACTTAGGACCAGAGATGCGGGCAAGGCTACACGACACCGAGTTGGACCTCTGACGTTACACGAAATAAGAAGATAGAGATTACAGGTTCAGGCCCTTCCCTTATCGATCTGCAGGTTTCCGCATGAATGTAACTTAACTTTACGTACATTTCGTATAGTATATAACTTGGACTATGTAGGCAGTTAAAGTTACTCAACGTTGAATTTTGGTTACCCATGCGACACGAAATCCGTTCCCAAACAACCGAAGCAGACTTTGTGACTCTTTATAAAACGGACAAGTCAAATCAAGCAATCTGATTGGTTCTTAGCCGTGATATACTGAGCGTATATCACGGGTAGAATTGTAAGTTACTTTTCACAACAAGTCAGTATCCCTCCGCGTCTGAGAAAAACAGTATACAGTTGGGCAGAAAAGCAAATGCTTTTCAAACTGGAACAAGAAAGCAGCGGAGAAGTAACGGGGCAGAAACCCTCCTTTTTACGCAGCGGTCCAGACATAGACATCAAACGGCAAAAACATATTCAGTGTGCAGTTCCTTTGGCATTAGGGCAGGGATATTTAGATACTTTCCAAGGTTTGACAAAATGAATTGTGCTACTTTTAAAGCAAGCAACGATGTTTTCAAATCTGTAATCAAAAAGGTCCGCAAAAACATTTAAGATTAACTTCGACCTCCGGGGGGGGTCTTACGGAGGAGTGGATTGAGGAGTGCGAGTGCCTATCTCCAGAACAAAAAGCACCTAAACGACGACATGTAGAGCTACGTGAAGAGCAGGTAGTAGACCAACTGGAAAAGTATCACCATTCAAAAGCTTTCTGATGCGGGTCTTGAAACAAAGCAGAGAAATTATGACCGTTAGTGGCCACAGGTACGAAAGCTCTCTCCAGAGCTACTGGAAGCCGAATCTCTGGGACCGGAGAAAGTGGAGCAATATTCTCGCCACGCCAAGCAACAGCCTAGAACAACCTCAGCCTATAACCACGTAAGCCATGCTACTGATGCTGGACAGTTTTTCAGTGGGTGCACAATAAACGGCAACATACACATTAATGTAAATAAATAGCCAAATAATGGATCAACGCTCTGTCTAATATGTTCGCTAGCTGTTGTTAGTGTTGTTGCATAGCAACCACCTCGCACTATGTTTCGTGCAGAAGGCAACGGAGGGACTATTTTATTTTGAACATCATTATTTACTAATAACAACTATTTAAATTAGAGTGTGTATTTTTCATATTGGGGTTGTCGACCCTCCGCTTCGCGTCGGGCCGAACCACGCCCCTTAACTGTGATATAATGGCCATATACCACGGCCTGTCGTGAGCTATTGCTTAATTATACTATACTGTATGTCTCCCGACTTCCTCCTTATAATTACTACAGCCGCTGAAGATCACCGCATTCATGTATTCCTATCGATGAGTAATCATTTGAATATATGATAATGGAAAATCAACCTTCTGTATGCTTGTTGGTGCTTAAGTGATATTAATATACAACATTAGACAGAGTCCAGGTGGTTGAAGGTGGATGATTCCTCTAACAGGATGATTTCCAATAGACTATTGGAAGTGATGGTTCTAGAGCAATTTAACTAGGAGGTGCCAGGCTGGGGCCAGTTATTTCATGAGAGGGGCACACAAAAGCGGGTTAAAAAGACAAATACAGTATAAAGTAATTGTGTAAAATAAACATAAAATACAGTAATTGGTATTTTGTTTTAGTACATTTAAAGTGGACCTATCATGCTATATTTGAATAATATATTGTAGGGCCATACCTATATAAAACATGTCTGTGAAGTCAATTTAATTAAAAAACATAAACAGTATTTGCTTTTATATAAGGTAATGAACAGTTTAATCTCCACTGTACATCTGGGTCTCTGATTTGATTTAGTTCTAATAAATCGTAATATTTTAACCTTTTCTTGGAGGGGGGTCACAGGGGGGTCCCTGGTCAGTGTTACGGGGGCACTGGCCCTTGTTGCCCCCCGCCCCCTAGAACCGCCCCTGCCAATAGTGTCCAACTTATTATAGAAAAGGCTGAAATATAAGATACCTTGATATTATGCGGTAACATTTGATCTCAATACAGTTTGTCGCCTTTCACACCTCAGGCAACAACGGATCCATGGAAACAACAAGCATCTCGTTTGTCAGGCGAGATGTCGACTAACACCTCTGATAATTGACAAGCGGGATCTGGTTTCCTGTCGCTGTCATCGGATCCTCCAGCCCGGAAAACGTACTCCTGATGGAGAAGAGTCGGCACTCCTGAGGAAAAACCTGGTCCTCTTCTTTGCTGCTCTCCAATCTACAAAGTTAGTGTACATGGTAAACATTAAACCTTTTGGAGTATCACTGTGTCAAAGAAAAGTCTTGCTAACGTACTGGTTGACTCTTATTTTTGTTTCATTACACAATATAATGCAGTGTCTCCAGTTGAATGAGAAAATTAAACCAATATTTGATGTTTTCTTTCAACAGAAATAATAATTGAAAAGGAAAAGCCAGTCTGATGTGGCAGCTCTTCTGATAGACAAAGAACCAAAGTGGAGGTTAAAATAATAATAATAATAATAATAATAATAATACTATGGATTTATTAAATGTCAGAGTCAGACTAAGATTTGTTGTCTAGGTGACAGTTTATGGCGACCCAAATAAACAATAAATGTTTTAAAATATGTATCGGAGGCTTTATGTGCTAAGCTTCCAGAGTGATGCAACCTGAGCCGCTGTAAATTCCTCCGTCTCTCTTATGTCCTGCGGCTGATGGTGTTGTCAGGTGTCTAAGCTTCAGCACCATCAGCAGAGCGCAGCGCTGAATACTTTATTATAACGCGCTGAATATGTAAGCACATATGCTTAAGAGCTGTACTTAAGTACACTTTTAAGGTACTTAAGTTAAGTATTTCAATTTCCTGCCACTTTAGACTTCTACTCCACTACAGGTCACACAGGCTGAGCAACTCATGTAGTAATTGTCATTTTGTGGGGGATATGTTTTATTTACCTGAACGAACTTGTTATAATAAACCTAAAGATACTTATTCATTTCCTGAAAATGTTGTTTAATGACTCAGTATATTGGACAAGGAGATATAATAATAATATACTTTATTCACATCACTTTTCACACAAGACATGCAGCTCCAAATACTAAAGAAAGTACTACAAAAAAAGGGCAACAAACAAAACAATCCAACCATAAAAAGACAGCAGATGCTAAAATATGTGGATGAAATAATAACAGTGACCATCAAAAATATTAAATGAGGTTGTTAATTGACCTTCTAAGTTGACGAGTTGTGTGCAATGTTGTAAACAGAAGTTTTGTTTTAAGTGTTGCTGTTAAAGGCAGCCCTATTTACTTTAATGAATCAAAACCTTTCTACACTTTTGGATGTTTTGTTCACCGTAAAGTGGAGAAAAAAACATTTCCTTCAGGAATAAAAAGTAATTGATAGACAAATAATCATTTTGTGGGTGAAGTATTACTTTAAAATACATAAACACATGTATTCAATTAAACATAACATAACTGTCCTATGTTACATTGTGTTAGTAGTATGTTGGTCTACAGAGATGGCAAAAGCACACACATCCTTTACTCAAGTAGAAGTACAGATACTCGTGTTTAAAAATACTTTGGTAAAAGTAGAAGTACTGACTAAACTTCTTTACTGTAAAAGTTAAGAAGTATGAGCTTTGAAATGTACTTCAGTAAAAAGTACCCATAACTAGCAGCTGTTTTAAAGAGTACCTGACCTCCCTTTATATTAATAGAAGAATAATGTCATTGTTAGCTAATGAATGTTTCCATGCTGAACAACGGCAACATGACAACGTTTTCATTGGTCCCTCTTCTTTAGAGAAGACCAGGAAATGATGGATACACGGATCGTGTTCAAATCAATAGGCACGCAATGACTCTAATAATAATGATCACGCACCAAACACACATTCAAACTAAAGTAACCAGCCTGCTTGGAAAATGTAAGAAGTAGAAAGTACAGGTATTTGTGTTAAACATGTAAGAAGTAGAAAGTACAGGTATTTGTGTTCAACATGTAAGAAGTAGAAAGTACAGGTATTTGTGTTCAAAATGTAAAGAAGTAAAAGTAGAAAGTCGTCAGAAAAATAAGTAGTGGAGTAAAGTACTGATACCAGAAACATTTACTTAAGTACAGTAACAAAGTATTTGTAGGCTACTCCACTACTTCCCACCTCTGTTGGTCTGTTATATTGTACTTATTCTGTATATGTATATTGTGTACTCGAGATGCCTTATAGATATATTTCACTGTCGATATGTATATATTTATTATTTACAGTTGATTTTCTATGTTATTTTACTTTCAATTGATGTGCAATGTATTTGAGTCCATTCATGTTTTTCCTCATGATGTTGTTTTAGTGATTCAGTAAATGGGACTTCAGGCTGAGTTAAAGCAGGTTTTATTTAGCAGTTTGCAGTAAACAGACCTGACAGGTGTGGATCGGTTGAAGGTGACAAAGACGGATGGGCTGAAACGCCTCTGTGAGGAAACTGCCTGCGTGTCTGGCTGCAGTTCAAAAAGAGACGTGAGATATGAGAGCTATTTTTATTGTGAGGAACATGTGAACAGTTCAGTTTGGATGATCTTGTTTTACAGAATGTATTCAGTCACGATGATTTGCTGTTTAATATTGGAATGTGTTCAGAGTTATGAGCTGAAGAGATCCAGATGAACAGGTTGCTTTTCATTGAGAGTTACCACAAATAGCCTGCAGTCAGGAAACAAGACTTAACGTTGGCAAGGAATCAAAAGGTGTTTCCAAAGATATGACAATGATAAAGTTATTTTTACATGTTTACATACGTGTTTGTAATTTATTAGGCGGAGGCGTGTGGTGCAGTGGGTTGTGTGTAGGTGTTCGGCTCAGGGGAGCACAGGTTCAAACCCCACTGCAGTCAGCATGTCGTTGTGTCCCTGAAGACACTTCACCCCAAATTGCTCCTGTGGGGATTGCCCACAGTATTGAATATGTAAGTCGCTTTGGATAAAAGCGTCTAACAAGTAACATGTAATGTAATGTATTAAGGACGATGAATATGCAACAGAGATGTTCACCTGACATCTTCCATCCCTCTCATAATGTTGAGACCAAACAGTTCATTATTTTTGGAAAAAAAAGACCTCCCTGAATGTGAAAAAGAAAAATAATAAAGTTTGTTTTGTCATTTTTATGAACCTTTTCAAAGTAACTTTGAAGGCCGGTAAAAACGTTATTTGCATTTATAGCAACAACAACAAAAAAGGTGTATATTGTCAAATATTAAGGTATTTTAATTGAACATATTTATAATAATTGTATTGTATTTAAGTTTTAAAATGTGTTCCTATTTTTTTAATCACATGTTATTGTATTTATGTTGGATAATAGTCATGTATTTGAATAATGTATAGCTTTTTGCATGCTGGAATTATTAAAAGCTTTTAATTCTACTTTAACACATTATAATCATTTGTGTCTCTCGTGCATTGGTTTTAATGGTGAAGTCTTCTAATTATTGTGTCTGAGGAGGTCAATCTGTCTCTGTGCTGTTTCAGAATATCAGATCTGATCTGAAGGATGTCTGTGACGCTGGTTAACTTCACGTGAAAACCACAGATGAGACTTCAGATAAACACAAACATGTCCTCTGTATTTCTGTGACTATGCTTAATATTTATATATTATGTTACAACTATTATTCAAATCAAACTAAACAATTATTGTACAGATAAAAAAAATGTAGTCAAATCATTGAGCTTGTAAAGATATAATGTCGATAACTTAAAGCTATGTAACTTTACAATGGGAATAATAGAATATATATTTAATGTTGCAGGCTGGCAGCTGTAAAGGTTGAATTAATTTGAGCTATACTCCTAGAGTTTCATATAAAATAATAATAATAATAACAAAAATAATAATCATTTTTATTAATAACCTGAATTTGGAAAGTAAAAAAATAAGTAGCATGAAATTGAAATACCCAAGTATAGTACAAGTACCTCATGGTGCACCTTAAGTACAGTATCTGAATAAATGCACCTACTTTTATTTCCAGCATGAATAATAACTCACTAATGTTTTCCGCCTCTTTATCTTATCAGCTTATTGAAATTCTGACTATATATTACTCTTTATAGTTTAATTAATCTGCAGTAATTACACATTGGTCTTGCACCATATCTGTCCTATTTTATTCTACTCTCTTGCACTATTTTTATTTTATTGGTTTTTTTTTTTTTGTATTGTTTTAAGTCCTATATATATTACTGTATGTTGCATTGTTGGAGGAGCCTGGGACTTGAGTTTTGCATTGCCATATCTGTACTGTAGCTCCTGTGCATATAACAATAAAGCAGGGGTGTCCAAACTACGGCCCGGGGGCCAAAATGTGGCCCACAGACCATTTTGATTAAAAAAGTATAATGACTTAAGTATATTAAACTTCAGTCAATTAAAGTTGAAAACATGTTATAACAAATCTAAGTTGATAATAAAAAAGCCCAATAACTTATTTTCATAACAACCTTGAAATATACCCTTCATATTTCCTCTTATTATAAGCAATCTGAAGCTTCTGTTTTAAGGAATGAGCTGCTCACAAAATGTATGAACTCTTATGGAGAGCTGTGATGGTGGCTGTTTTTTTTCTAACAGCATTTTCAAGTATCAAGAATAATTAACCTACATTGGATTGATTTTTCCAACTTATAACTGAACTTACAGTATGGGGCAATATACCTATAGGGAGTGGCACAGCACTTCGTATATTTTTCTGTATGTGGCCCTCGGTGAAAAAGTTTGGAAGCCTGTGAAAGTGAAGGTGCTGCAGTGCCCCCTGCTGGTCAGATGCCGCAAATATGTGCGCCAGTCTCCGCTGCTTTACGGTATTTGAGGTGCGCCTCTACTACCGTACCTGAGACATGGCAGCGGCCAGCAAACAGCAGCTGCTTCCAACTCACCGTGAGTCTACTTCTCCTGTTATTATCTTCTGAAATACTCCATTACACTTCACATTGTTTCACCAGAATGTCTGTGTGTATATCTGCTATGCTGTTGCCAAACCCCCTTTCTTATGTCAGAGTTTATTCAGCAGGACGGTGGTCTTTTATCTAACATTGTGGACACATTGTACCGGAAATGTCTTAAAAAAAATTACTGTCTGATCTAATATAACTCGCCATTCAGGTGTGTAATGTGATAATCGGTGGTAGGATTAATGTGGTGACTCATTAGCATTATGCTGTCGTCCGTTTTCATTGTTGTTGTTTATTCAGAAACACGCGTCAGCTTAATGTACCGTACTTGTGGCTTTAAAGGAAATTAAATACCGTATAATAAACAGACTGTAAAGGTATGGGTGTGTGTGAAATAGCTGGAGGGCACATAGTCTTAAGAGTTAGATCATGTATAGGTTTAAAACCCTTATGTCTGTCCCCTTTAAAGGACATGTTAACATGTTTTTTTATCTTAAGGGAGGTATGTGTTCACAGGGTCCACATTTTTAAGAGACTTGTAAAATAGGTTAAACAAGGACATGGATGTTGTAAATGCAGCTTCAATAGAAAAAGGATCCATTCAGCGACTGTAGAGATACCAATGTTTAAAGTCAAGAAATACTATCTTGCTCATGGCCTTCCAACCTTAATGTCATATCCTGTATAGGTGATTTCAACATGTTAGCCCAGGCCCCAGGGGAATACCTAGTATTAGGATAGCAAACATAGCACCCTGGGAGCATAGATACCCTCTTATCTTAAAGCACACACTCATATGAATGACAGAAGAGTTGTGGTGTAATTCCTCCCCCTTTTCAAACTGATTGAGGAGATTATTTCCCAATTGTTGAAATGTTTCTTGTCATTGTGCAAAGGCTACTGTGACGAAGAAGTCTAACCAGAAATACATAAAACAGTCTAGGGGGAGGCTACCTATTGTATAGCTGCAAAGGTGCCCTTAAAGGTGGGGTAGGTAAGTTTGAGAAACCGGCTTGAGATACACTTTTTGTTATATTCCATGGAATGCTCTTAACATCCCGATAGCAATGAATATCTTAAGTGCTTTGACAAAAAATCCATAAAAAAATGGACCCGGCCCGGCTAAAATAACTGGATGGCCTACCTGCCTATCAGCCTTCCATCTGTGCACAAACTTATCTCGTGCCCTCATTGGTCATGTGCGCGTTCGTGTGTGTTGGAGGAGGGGCTCTGTAAGGAAGTGGCAGATTATTTCCGGCTGTGTATTTTCAAATCTAGCGATCTCGAGCCGGTTTCTCAAATTTACCTACCCCACCTTTAAGCAAGGCATTAAACCCCCACCTATTCGTGGTGCCATGACATATCTAAGCTGCCATGTTTATTGTTGTGGCATTATGTGATAAAAACATTTTTAACATTAAGACTGTTCTTCCATTTTATGTTAACTCCATTAATCCTGTTTTTGTCAGTTTTGGAATATCACCAAATCCACTAGATGTGTCATTTTCCGATCTTGAGAAAGTTGATCACGCTTTTGTTTCAACACGTCTCAACTATTGCCACTCCATGCACACACGTCTTTTTTCACATAAAATGCTGCACCTCAGAACTTAACTCTAAAAACATGTGACCGCTACTGTTCTTTACCTTTGCTACCTGTGTATTTTAGATTTTAATATACGTGTATTTCCCTATCTGGGTTAGCATCTCCTTATCTGGCAATATCCTGTTGTTCATTCCAAAGTCACACCTAAGATAACTGCACTTTTTGTTTGAGCTTCAAGACTTTGGAAACGCCCTGTCTGAGGAGATCAGGCTTGCTGAATTAATGCAAAACATATTCAAAACACACTTGTATAAAACTGCTTTGAAGCTTTCATATTTGTTTATTTCGATCCAACAAAAGCTCCATTGACATCACACCACCGCCCTCTTTATTCCTCCGTTATCTGGCCATCTTTACAAAACGTAATATTCATTAATTAATGCTTACTAAAGGAGCCCTATTATGCTTTTGGGGTTATCCCTTTCCTGTAGTGTGTTATGTAGATTTGTGTGCATTTAAATAGCCTGCAGAGGCTAACATTTCTGTGTTCCCTCCCCCCTCATTTGTTTCACGGCCTGTCTGAAAATGAGCATAGTAGGGCCCCTTTAAAAAACCCTCCTTGGTTGGCATTCCCCTCCCCTCCCCCTTCCTTTTTTACTTGTTTCAAACTAAATCTGCTACTTACAACACCCAATCTGCTCTCCGTATCCTGTGGAAAGTTCCCAAAACAAGTACAGTATTCAGTCGGTCCTCTCCCTGGTCTGCTGCAGCCACAACTTGAACAATCTGCAAAAAATACTGAAACTAGACGTTTTTATCCCCAAGTCAGCCTTTAAGAACTCTATTACGGCCATTGTTGTTGATACAGCTTCCCTAACCACTGAAGTTATCTAACGTCTGTCTGTCTGCTAGTTAAAGTGGTTCTATGCATGTTCTTGTTCGCTGTTTCTGTTTTGTATTGCTTGTCTTTCTGCTTGTGTACGCTGCTCTTGTGGGTTTGCTATGTCACCTGATGTTGTTGTTTGCTACTGACAAATGTTGTCTGCCAGTCTCCATGTCTTTCACGTAACAATTGTTGTGATTGAATATCAGTAAAACAATGTCCTGTCAACCATATGATTGTTTTTACATCCGTTTTTGTATTTGCTTGCTTTATAGATAAAGATATTATTATAGAATATAGCCAAAATCCACATAAGAAAAGTATGAAAATGGTTATGAAAGACAGGGTTATTCTTTTCCATGGGATATGATTTTCATCTGTAGCCTGGGGCTGTGGGTTTCCATGTTTACTGCAAATGAACATCAGTTGATAACAATTACTGAGAAAACGTCCTCTTTTCTCTTTCTACAGACACCAGAGCTGAGGCACGGGATCCAACGCTGAGCTGAAACTCACATCTATGTTTACAAGAAGACGTGCCAACACCTGATCGTTCTCCACACAGCCCTCAGTTCATCAGGTTTCACTGCTGAGGGTTTTTCTAAAGCAAGCTTCATGTTGGGACGACGCAAATGTTGACCTGAACCTCTTCTTTTCATTTGTGTGCTTCCAGCCGCATATTACATCAATGCCTCGATGGAAAACGTTGTTCAGTCAACACTTGCGAAGGTCCAACACCGTCACTCAAGCCCTGGTCCTGTCCGTCATCACGTTTTGCGTCATCCTCCCTTTGTGCTGCCATCGCCTGCTTTACTCTTACTACTTCATCAAGACTATGTACCTGGACTCCATGAGTGAGGAGGTCCTGCACGAAGGCCTTGTCCGAGGCCAGGACGCGCTTCAGTTCTGGCAGAGCACTTCCACCACAGCATCGTCCAGGTTCAGCGACATCGCCCAGAACCCCGAGCTGCTGGTTATCGTAGTTTCAGTGCAACGAAATGAGGGGCGGGACTTCCACTACCTGCTGCAGGTGATGCAACAGATAAGCGGCCTTCTGGAAAGCTGTGGATCGCAGCGGTGTGCAGAGGTGTTGGTCTGCGACGTGGAAAGCGGTCCACAGGAAAACCAAGATGCCAAGATTCTCGAGGACTACTTCAAGGTGATCCGGCGTTCCCCTCTGGAGAAGCGGAGGAACAGGGATTCAGTCAACACCTTCGAGAGGGAGAAGAGGGATTACGTGTTTTGTCTCCGCAAGGGATGGGAGCTGGTGCAGCCCAAGAACATAGTGGTCCTGGAGGACGACGCTTTGCCCAAACAGGACTTCTTCACCGTCGTAAAGCACCTGCTGTCCCGTACGTTTGCCTTCCAGACTCTCTACGTGAAGCTGTATCACCCGGAGAGGCTGCAGCGATACTGGAACCCCGAGCCTTACCGCATCCTGGAGTGGGTTGGACTCGGACTTGTTGGAGCGACGGCTCTTCTCCTCAGCTTTTCTTACTGGAACCCCTGCTCCTTCTCCTTCACGCTGTCGGTCACCCATCTCCTCTTCTTCACCCTCTACTTCATGGCTGCCATAGAGCTTCTGGGGCGGCACTACCTGCTGGAGGTTCGGAGGTTTTCCCCGCAGCTCTACGCCGTCTCCCCGGCCACAGAGTGCTGCACGCCGGCCATGCTCTTCCCCGGAAACTCCTCGCTCAGGGCGGCGGAGTATCTGGACGGCTCGTTCTGCGTCAAGGGGAACGCCAAAGACATTGTTCTGTATCAGATGGCGAGGACGATCCCCGGGGAAAGGGCTCACAGCGTGGAGCCCAACCTCATCACCCACATCGGGGCCTTTTCCTCGGTCAGGGGCAACCCATTAAAGCCCAGACTGCTGTGAAAATGGAGGCTGGATTTCATCAGGTTTCTCCTAACTTGGTTCTACTTTTCCTTTCTGCTGTGTCTCCTGCCAGACTCTTCATACATTCGAAAACAACGCTCAGAGAATATTGGTTTTGTGATTTGCAGGTGGGAAGTCAACAAGGCTCCAGGAGGGAAAATGGGCTATGTTTGATTTGGTTTTGATTTGGTTGGTATGTTTGGTATTTTTAGATGTGAAGGTTGCAATTCACGGCTTGTGAAGTTGATACACGTACAAATGTGTTCACCAGCAAATCACATAAACCACTTCAACTGAGCTTTGTTTACAATTAGAGATCAATCATCATATCATCACTGCTGGAAATCTTCTTTAATCACTTTTCTGTCCTTCAGGTTTAGTGTTCAGGTGAGGGTCTAAATGTGTATCTACTGCCTGGGGTCATGAACTATTTAAAAAAACAAAAAATAATAATTATGAGATGCTGTCTGTTTCCACCATGATCGTCATCCTCCTAAAACAAGCCTTTAAGAGCATAAAGATAGAATTGCTTACCACGTTTCATGGATATGATGGAAATGGTGTGATTTATTAAAGGATTCATTCACTGTTTGTACACCCAAACCTTTTTAAAACTAAGGTTGGTGGACAATAGCATTTCATAACTTATAGAATTGTTGGACATCAATCAAAATACTTTATTAATCCCACGGGGAAATTTCGTTTTTTGACAGTTGCACTACCATTGAACAAAAAAAAACATATTTATACTAACATAAGTTGAATTAAAAATGTGCAATAAGTCCTTTGGTGCAATATTTATAGTTTAACTTTGTATGGCTTTTCAGATTGAGTCGACCATATGATATCGTGTGCAGACCGCGGCTCATTTACTACTGTTTTGACAAACACTTGTGTTGCTGGATATACTAACTAAATGGATGCTGGGTATGTTGCATAAATGCTGGATATAGGAATGTTAAATGGTTGCTGGATCTACTAACTGTGTTCACACCAAACAAGAAGCCACATTTTTGCTCGCAATTACACACAAAGTCAATGCAATAGACACGTTGGTGAATGGCGCGGTTTGCTCAGGACACGAGGAAGTGCAATGTGGAGTGTGAATTTTATATGGGTGGTTCTCAAGAAAACTACAAGTACCACAGGCCAGCATTTAACAGTTTTAGAATAGGCTTGTTTTTCATTCGCACTAGTTGATCTAAGGGTAAAAAGAGTTAGGAGAGATGTCGTTTTCGATGTTAGCATCCGAGCTTCACAGGTCATAACCATATCAGAAGTTTATTGTGAGTTTTATTTTGTAAAACTAACTTTTCTCACTGGTTTTAAACATCCCTGAGTGATTACCAATCAGACATTCAAACACCACATCAGCCTACTTTTCAGAAATCTGGAAACATGCAGTTAATCTTTCTTAGAACAGGTTAAGTTGACTTTGCAGTCAGCTACGTCATGTTTGGAATCGGGAAGTTGTATTTAAAAAAAACAAAAACAATGAACAAATCTTTTAGGAGATAAATGTAAGGAAGAAAGGTTGCATGCCTTAGCAGTCTTTCTTATCCAGGATTCACTGATAGAATCTTAATCATGTTTGAGGATGATATCTTGATTTTCTGATTATGACCCTTTACCTTCAACATTGTTTTTGTGCTTTCATTATATGAAAAGAGATTTGATTAAAAGAAATAGTGAGCTTACACACATCTTTACTTGATTTAAGGATGAAAAGAGTTGCGAGATATGAAGGTTATGATGTTAGCTTCTGAGCTTCACAGATCATAATCATATCAGGAGGTTTTTTTTGTAAATCTAACATTTCTCACTGGGTTTAAAAAACATCCCTGAGTGATTACCAATGAGACTTTTAAACACCACATCAGCCTATTTTGCGAAATGTGGAAACCTTCAGTTCGTCTTTTTCTTTCTGTGTTAGTAAGCACGGCTTCTGTCTAGTTGTAGGTAGTGTCCATCTTGGTTATGTCGGGTTTGGGATCAGGAAATTGTAATATTGTTGTGGAAGAAGAACAGTTAACGAATGTTTTAGGAAATACATTTAAGGAAGAATGACTGCATGCCTTAGCAGTCACTGATACAACCTCAATCATGTTTGAGGACAAGATGAGATCTTGATTTTCTAATTATGGCCTTTTACCTTCAACATTGTTTTTGTACTTTCATTATATGAACAGAGATTTTATAAAAAAAATATTGAGCAGTCATATGATTACACACGTCTTTGTGGTTCAACAGAATATAGTAAAGCAATATTACATTGTCACGTTATTGCTGTTGGAGATACAGTAAGTCTTCAAAAGCAGAACCACATTGATAGTACCTCAAAATGTATGTTTAGTAGTGCAGCAGTGACACAAACAAACCTTCATACTGAAAAATGAAGCGCTTCATATCAACCTTTACTTTACCTTGTCTGTCAAGCTTGTTGTTGTCATACGCCGTTTGTTTACAATGAAAAATGGGGCAGATAAAACCTATTTCTTTTGTAAACAATGGGTCTTTGAGAGCAGACAAAAGCAGGATCTCATTATCTGATATTAGAACTGGCAGATTTTACAGCATTTTATTGTATTCCAGCTGACAGAATCTGCTAATAAAAAGTCTGTATTATGCTTATTAGATTTACTGTAGGCTACTATTGCTTGTATTATTACGTTATCACTTTAAACCTTAAAAGAGAATAAGCTTTGAGTAACAGGACCGTTTGCAATGGGTTTGGCTGGTTGCTGCAAAAGAAAATCAAAAAAATATCAAAAATGAGCCGCTAATGTTAGCTTAATGTTGGCTTATTCTTAGCTTAATCTTGGCCTAATGTTAGCGTAACATTATCTTATTCTTAGCTTAATGTTATCTTATTCTCAGCTTAATGTTAGCTTAACATTAGTCAAAAGTTAGCTTAATTTATAGCTTAATGTTAGCTTAAAGGTTGGATTAACTTTGGTCTAATATTGGATATACCATACAGACATGAGTGGTATCAATCTTATTAATAATAAAAGTCAACCTAATTTATATACTGCCAAATTATAACTTGGGTCAACCCATGACACTTTGAATATGTATTGATCGTACTATTAACTAGAATATATAAAAAGCATTCATATTAAATATTGTTTATGAAATCTCTCAACTGCAAACTATATATATTTCTGATTTTATTTTGGCACCTTATAATGACCATAAACATTATGTTTTACAACTTGCCTTATTTCTGACTGATAACATTTAAATTGCACTTTATTTAAAGAGTGACTATATAAGAGAAATACACAGTTTTAATTATTTTATAGAATAAATAAATATAAAATAGCTTGATATGATTGTTAGAATAAAATATATTAGTTTATTATAAATTAAATATCTCCTCGAACTTCAGTGTATATTTTACTTTTTGACGGTTTATTCAGATACTTTATCAGATCAGCTGAAGCTCAAATTAAATCATTTTATATAAAGTGTTAAGTTCCTACACGCTGTTTGCTGCTAATGTATCTGCAGAGGGGATATGCTTCAATGCTTATATTTAAATTAAGGATTAAAAAATGTGTTTAGGGTTTAATTTTGTGATTTCTGCCTTTTATATGTATTTTATTGTGTGAAGTAATCATCAAAATGTGTCCATCCTCTTCACCTCAACATTTAAAATGAGATAAGATTTTGAATCTTTTTTTCTGTGTGTTTGGTGTTTATTTTCTGTCCCATCACTTTGTTGCATGTTAATAACATCTAAGGACATTTATACTTTATGTATAATTTGAATGTAAACATCAAATGATCATCCATTATGCCTGAAAGCTCCAATTAACCAAAGATGGATTACAACTTCTCTATATATATATATTATATATTGGTGAAATCTGACATTTTAAAATAATAAAGTGAGTATTATTCTGGTGACTGAAGGGTGATGCAAATCACATATTGTTTTTGTGTTGAATATACCTTTTCACGTGTTTCTGTTTACACCTTATTCCTCAAACTACACACATCCAAGTGAGCAAGTAACTGTTTTCTACATTTAAACCACAATAAATCACATCGTTTGAAATGTCTTGGTTGTCTGGAAGATTTTATTGGAGTAGATTAGATTAGATTAGACTAGTAAAATGTATTGTCCTTATACAAGTACAATGAGAAGAGCAAAGCTACTCATCTTAAGGTGCCATCCACACATTCAGAATAGACAACATACAACAAAGACACGCAGCATTCATACATACATACATACAATAATAACAAAATAATGTGTCGGAAATAATCCAATTAATGTATGTGTGTATAATAAATAAGTCGGGTAGGGTCGTCCCCTGAACAAAAAACGTTCGGGTTTTCCCTTTCCTGCAGTGCGTGTCTAGTTTGTTGTGATATTCTTAACGAGACATATATGTGTGAGTGCATGACAAGTAGGCAAGCCAGCAATAAGAAATAAAGTTAAAATGGATAAATGGTTGAATTATGGTATGTACCCTATCTTCTGCCATTATAATTAAGTGTGTACATTTGCACAAACACACACACTTAAACAGGGATATTTGTGATTGTATACTGTAACTATATTGCATACAAGTGTAAATAAAATATATAAGAAGGGTGCAATAACATCAAGTTTGGACAGATGGATGTAAAGAAGATGTCCCAGGATCCATCTGACAGGTATGTGTGGGGGGACTTTTAAAGAATAAGGTTGGGAACCATTGGTTATGATGATTTCAGAGTGACCAGCAGGGGGCTGTAGATCCTCACAAATACTACAATATCAAAACCCAAAATGCATGAGAGTATTCAGTTTGTTGCAATGCTGAAATCACAACACTAGATGCCACTAAATCCTGCACACTGCCTCTTTATGTGGTGGTAAAACAAAGGGAAAAAATGACTTTGACAGTGACACACAAGAAGTAATGCGGCTTTCACACTAGCGCTTTTCCCTTTCTAGCTCCTAGCTAGAGCTTTTCTGGTTCAGCTCCGGTTTCCCTTTTCAGCTCCCGCTCTGTTCACACCGCCCAGAGCTGCCGCTGCTGCGTCATGACGTCACCGTTTACATCGCTGATTTTCTCCCCAACGGAGCTCACAACAACAACAACAACGGGGGGGGGGACTGCGTCGGGTCGATGATCGTGTTGCTTTTAATCATACGAAGCCAGATTAAATTAAATAATGACTTCTCCAACCTTATACTTTTCTCCAGAGTGCCGTGGTTCATTGTTTATTAATGTGTTTCAGCGGCATTTACCGACCGCTGCAGTGCTGGCTGCTCTTCCACGGGAGTGTATTCTCCCGTTAGCTCCGGGCTAGCTCACACGGCTCTAAAGTATTCACTGTCTGACTGTCACACAAGCAGCTGATACATATCCCCAGTTCCCCTTAAGTGAATGTGTGTCAGTCTGAATTGACGCTGTTTGGCATCACAACGCTGTTATGAAAGTTTCTCTGGTATAACATGGGTGATGTTAGCATAGCAACCGAAGCTAAACTGACTACTTGCTAAGCCGTTTTCTACAGGCACATTTTACCGGCGTATTTTTCATTATGATTCTACTTGTGATAGTCGGACATGACAACCTGTGCAGCCCATGTATTGATTCCATCCGATAGCTGCTATAATAACAAACAAAACGTCTGCCTGCTCTCCACAATGATCAATAACAGCGAACGGATGGTCAAAGTAAGGTACAAATAAACAGAATCACACGAAGCCTGGTTAGTGTTGCCTGACTTTATAAAGTGTGTTTTTTTTTTATAAGTGTGTGGTTGCCTTCTAGTCACTTTGCTCAGCGCTACTGCTTGTAGGCAGGCATGACGAGACTCTTCAGTCGACCCATGTTCAGGGGAGGTGGGTTTAGTTTCCTGCACGCCTCGACGTAAGAGAGACGTAAGCGACGCCGCCTCATAGCTCCGAAGCTCTTGCCTCTAGACCGACAATTTTTTGGAGCTGGAAGTGAACCGCATGGAGCTGGAAAAGCGCCGGTGTGAAAGGGGCATTATTAACCGTTAGAGCCAATAGAATCGAAGGGGAATTTCCACATACACACCAACGTTACCAAAAAAAAGTGGGGGCTATGCGCATGCAGTTTGCCCAGAGCGAAGCCTATCTCACGCTCTGAAATCTGAAAACGGAAAAGTAGGTTTATTGCTTATGGATTATCAGAAATAATTTCAAAGGGACACAGACACATTGGATTAACCTATGGATTAACCTTCAGCAGCGTTTTTATCGTTTTAATGCCATTGAAGACAACTTTTGATCAGACAACAACAGAGGTAAGACATATTGCCGTTTTGGCTACCTAGCGCCACGTGTTGTGATGTCTGTTTTTGTTTATAAAGTCGCAAGTTCTTATCATGGAGTGATGATATATCTACCTATCGATTCTGTGTACTCTCACGATGCTAATCGATGGGTTGGATTTGCATTTACGATAAGTAATAAGGGTGTTATAGCGTGTTTTCTGTGCTAACAGCGTTAGCATTCTTTCGCTCAGGACTAATTCAGAGGCTCAGCGTTAGCCTTGTGTTTGTTTTTGCTAAAAAATGGTTCATATCATCAGTTAGCTGAGTTTCTTCCCGTTACATGGATATGAAACATTCATAGTTTATCAAATATTAAGAAGCCCTCAGACGCTGTTTCCTGCAGATGATGCGTTTTTCCGCTCGGGGGCGGGTCGATGGGGTTCAACAGGTTAAGCCTCTTACACACCAAACTGACACCAAAGAACACCAAAGAACACCAAAGAACACGTCCCGACGGAACATCGCCTCGCCTCACGTCGCCTCACGTCGCCTCACGTCGCCTCACGTCGCCTCACGTCGCCTCACGTCTCCTTGGCCATGTTTCACACTGGAACACACCGCAAAGACTTCAGCCGACGGCCAAGTTGCACGTACGCACTGCGCATTCGTGAGTGGCAATAACTCTCCTTACCAGCAGGCGGCGGTAGTGTGTATTCATCATTCAAAAGAGGCAACAACCGGAAGACAGACTGCGTGATACACCGAGAGAAGAAGAACAGACTGCGTGATATAAACAAACAACAAATAGCGTGTGCGTTCCATTTTCACTCTACAGCGAGAAGCTCATGGGGCTTTCCCGAACCTGTGTCGAGAGCTGGAGTTAAATGAAATCTCAGATTTGCCTTCTTTTTTTTTTATCAATATGTTTATTGATTTTCAGCATACAAAAAAATCACATACATAGGACGAAGACATAGAGCCAAAAGCAATACATACATATACACAGGACAACTACATTACTTTACATTAAAGAAAAATAACAACACTAAATTAAATTGGTACATACATACATACAACAAGGGCACTCTAATACATCGGCAACCATCCAGTTTTCCAACAATAGGACCGTATTTCTGCAGAGGATATCACAGTAATTTACATTTTAACATATTATAACATAACATATTATCCTGCCCCATTTTCATTCAGAAATTGAGATACAGTAGGTCGTTGTTCTTGGTATACTGTATAAAACGTCCCCAGACCTTCTGGAACAGTTCTTGTTTGTCTTTGAGAATGAAGTGATTTTTTCTAAAGGCAGACATAAAGAAAGTTCCCTAAACCACTGTGCAATACTAAAGTATCTTCAAGTCTGAGTTTGGGAGGCTGATTGGTTGCATATTTTCGCACTTATCATTTGATTTCCCAGGTTTTGGCAGGAGTGTGATCAGCGCCCCTCTCAGGGTGGGAGGAAGTATTCCATTTTGAATAGATTCAATAAACATTTCCAAAAGTATTGTCTTTGGAGGAGATCTCTGAGGCAATGAAGAGCATGAAATCAGGAAAAGCAGCAGGACCGGATGGCCTGCCCATTGACATCGTAAACATTTTTTTAAATATCTGCAACTCAGGGGCTTTGTTGGAGCGAATCAGGATCGACTCATGCTGGCCCCTCCTCTGTCTATATTGGAGAAAGTTTTAATTAAAAACCCCTTTGGGAAGGGCATCATATCTGAATTCTATGATCTCCTGCTGGCGTTCTCCCCAGAATCCTCGAACTCTAGACTTAATGCCTGGAAAACTGACTTACAGGAAGATCTAACATTGGAACAGTGGAGCACAGCTTGTAAGGCGGCCCAAACACAGACGGGTGATACGCGTCTAAAGCTTCTGCAATACAATTGGCTAATGAGAGTGTATATTACACCAGAAAAACTGAATAAATGTAATGCTAATATCCCAGACACGTGCACCAGATGTGGGGAAGAAAAAGGCACACTGTTCCATTGTCTATGGTTATGTCCAAGAATAAAGGAATTCTGGGAAGAGGTTAGGGTAACAGTACAGAATATTTTATTGAGCTTAAAGCTGGAACCAAAAATGTTCCTACTTGGCCTATATCCGGATGGACATAACATAGCGTTATGAACAAGTTTTTATAGATATCTGTTTATTACAAGCAAAAAGAGTGATTGCCTTAACATGGAAAAAGTTGGGCAAACCTACAATTCAGACTGACGCACATTCACTTAAGGGGAACTGGGGATATGTATCAGCTGCTTGTGTGACAGTCAGACAGTGAATACTTTAGTTGATAC